GTGATCTCAATTAGTTTTGTTTATTATAATTTCACGGAGAGTATCTTGAAAGATAAACTACAGTTGAACGAACATAACAAAACAACTTATATGATCAGGATATAATACTAGGCCACATTACGTATTCAGCATAAGAGTAGTAAAAACGTGTTCACAGCATGACTAAGCAAGGCTTAACTTAAAGTGTCAATCAATGATACTATGAGTCAAAACATGATAATAGTGAATATCTTGTCATTGTTTTCCTCGATCTAGATGTTTGGCTGTGGAAGAAGAGCCATGGCTCTGCATGCCAAAGCATTTTCTATTCATGAAACCTCTGGTTTAGTGGTAGCAAAATCTCTCAGCACATCATTCTTTCATTGTTCAAAGAAATTTAATGGAGCCCTTCCTGTCTCTGAGATACCAGGGCCTGTGAGAGTCCCCATTGTTGGAAATATTCTTCAGTTCCAAAAGGCAGGCGGAATTGGCAATTTTAATGAGGCTCTATGTATTATGCAAAAAGAGTATGGCAAGATTTTTCAACTCAAGTTTGGTCCTGAGCGTCTTGTGTGCATTTCTGATGTAGATATGATTGAGGATGTGTACAGGAATGAAGGAAAATACCCAAGAAGAGAAAAATCATTTCCAGCATGGGACAAATACCACAAGAAGCACAACCTTCCAAAAGGGGTGTTTATAGAGTAAGTAATTAAATTATTTTGGTTTACAGCAAATTATAGAACTTGATTTAATGAAATTAATCCATGTTTAATATGTGACATGGATCACCTATTCCAATGAACCTGGGATTTTAACTTTTGGAATAGATGGCAAAATTTTGGAGTGTGTGCTGATTCTAACAATGCTTAATTAAGCATTACATTGTGTCTATTTCAAGGCAAAATAACGAGCATGCTATTGTGCATTGGCCATGTGTATATAAACATTTCATTGGTATATTTTCCTCAGTTGTTGCAAGACAACCTTAAGTTGGACTGTAGAGAGCAAAATCATTTTTAAACTTTTTCACTTTTAAACCTAGAACAGTTGTACAAAGACTGACTTTGTCAGCTTCCTTTCTGAATGTATTTTCTATTAACTTTAAATTTCTTGAAATTTTTGAACAGGTTTGTATGGGATATAAATCATAAAATGTCTTTGTAATCATAATATATAACTTCAATTAAGATCTATTTTTCTCAATATGCTCCCTCCAAGAATGCTTTCCTCAAAACAATACCAGTCATTTGATTAGAAAAGTCATGTTTTGATACAAAATTAACACCAGGGTATCTTTGGCAATAAAACAAGTATTCAGCCTGTTTGATTGAATGTGTGACTGAGAGTTGTGAAAACATATTATGAATTTGAAAATGGCTTTGAAAAAAGCAAACATTTTACAACATACTTAAAGCTTTTTCGTCTGACACTCCTCAGAGCATAAAACGTCAGAATAGGTTCCGAAAAAACACGTTTGACAAATATATACCCAGTTGTGGATCGAAATAGGCCAATCAGAAAAACGCAAGCACAAGACCGGTATAGTTGACCAATCAGTGCCGCGAGCCTAAAGAAAAATTACCAATGGAGTCCAAGAGAGAAAACGAACTTCTTTTGTCTAAACAATGGCGGCTTTTTCGTTTTTATGTAGATTGACTCCAAAACTGCTAGATGGAAGGACGACCGGGCTCTGCCAATTATCCGAAACATGTCGTCATTATAGAGTTTTGCACAATCTGGGTTGTCTAAAAGATGTTGACCAATGGCAGAATCACTTGTTTTAACAGTGTTTCTAGACCTACAAGATCGAGGAGGCTGTTCTCTTGAGGGGCAGTTTTGTTTCGTATGTTGGAAGGAACATGCTGTTTTATCCTATCCCCCAATCTTTGGGTTGTGCGCCCTACGTAGCCAGAATCACACTGGCACGTAAATTCATAAATGACGGAACTTTTTTGTTTGGTAGGGACGCAATCCTTTTGAATGGATGGAAGGGCTCTCCTAGTGCTGTAAACAATCCGAGGATTGACAGCAAAGAAACAATTGGTTATGGCTTGCCTAATTTGACTCTCGAATCGCAAGGAAGTGTTACCAATCCATGGTAGTTTCAAATAAACTGGGCACTTTTGCGGACCAAACTTTTGAACAGCCGAAAAACCTGCGATCTTCTCCTTAGTATAAGATAAAATGACGTCTTCAGGATAGCCGTTGTCCAAGAGGATCGTTTTGAGTTTTTCCAGTTCAGCGTGCAGTTTAGATTTCGAGCAGATCATAAGTGCCCTATGTACTAATGTTTTGACAAGGTTGACTTTGCGTTGTTTTGGGCAAAATGAATTCCAGCGTATGTACTGACCGGTAAAAGTAGGCTTGCGATATACACTGGTAAGAAATCCAGTGTTAGACTTTTCGACCAAAACGTCTAAAAATGGTAAGGAATCATTTTCTTCCTTTTCAAACGTAAACTGGAGGGCTGGGTGTAGGCACGGCACGATTACGAGCACGACTAAGCGATTTGGCGTACGCTTACAGCGGCTCTCCCATCGACCACTCAGATTTTCTTTTGCATAGAGAACATTTCCAAGCACTAAAATCTCTACGGGCTAACAATGACATCTTTATTACAAAACCTGATAAAGGGTCTGGAGTGGTAATTCTAAACAAAAAGGACTACATCAATAAAATGGAGGTAATTCTCCACGACAAAGAAAAATTTGCTAAATTGGGTGATGTCGAAACACATGACAAAACGGCCAAACTAGAGCGGAAACTCCAAAAACGTTTGTTGGAACTGGTCAACTCAAAAATGTTGGCTACAGAAATTTATGATAGGATAAGACCCACGGGCTCTCAACGACCACAAATGTATGGCCTCCCTAAAATACACAAGCCGAACGTCCCACTTAGACCTATCTTGTCTATGATTGGCTCAGCACAACATGAACTGGCTAAGTGGCTTTCTGAAGTTTTGGACCCTGTTCTTCAAAAATATTCAAAACATTGCATCAAGGATTCTTTTACGTTCGCTGAGTTCATGCAAAACTTGAACATCGAAAACGAAACATCTTTCATGTGTTCTTTTGACATTAGTAGTCTTTTCACTAATGTTCCTTTGAGTGAGACCATCAAAATATGTGCCGACGCTTTGTACCGGAGCGAGCTTAATAGCCCACCATTCCCAGAGGAAGTATTCATTGAACTGATGGAAACTGCAACACGTTCAGTTGAATTCAGTTTTAACAATGAAATGTACCAACAAAAGGATGGTGTCGCTATGGGTAAACCCTCTGGGACCTGCCTTGGCCAATATCTTTGTTGGCTTTCATGAAGGGCGTTTGTTCGACTACGATCAAAAGCCAGGTGTCTATTTTCGGTATGTGGATGACACATATACCATTTTCAAAACAGAGGCTGAGTGTGATATTTTTCTAAAACACCTTTATAGCCTACACCCAGCCCTCCAGTTTACGTTTGAAAAGGAAGAAAATGATTCCTTGCCATTTTTAGATGTTTTGGTCGAAAAGTCTAACACTGGATTTCTTACCAGTGTATATCGCAAGCCTACTTTTACCGGTCAGTACATACGCTGGAATTCATTTTGCCCAAAACAACGCAAAGTCAACCTTGTCAAAACATTAGTACATAGGGCACATATGATCTGCTCGAAATCTAAACTGCACGCTGAACTGGAAAAACTCAAAACGATCTTCTTGGACAACGGCTATCCTGAAGACGTCATTTTATCTTATACTAAGGAGAAGATCGCAAGTTTTTCGGCTGTTCAAAAGTTTGGTCCGCAAAAGTGCCCAGTTTATTTGAAACTACCATGGATTGGTAACACTTCCTTGCGATTCGAGAGTCAGATTAGGCAAGCCATAACCAATTGTTTCTTTGCTGTCAATCCTCGGATTGTTTACAGCACTAGGAGAGCTCTTCCATCCATTCAAAAGGATTGCGTCCCTACCAAACAAAAAAATTCCGTCATTTATGAATTTACGTGCCAGTGTGATTCTGGCTACGTAGGGCGCACAACCCAAAGATTGGGGGATAGGATAAAACAGCATGTTCCTTCCAACATACGAAACAAAACTGCCCCTCAAAGAGAACAGCCTCCTCGATCTAGTAGGTCTAGAAACACTGTTAAAACAAGTGATTCTGCCATTGGTCAACATCTTTTAGACAACCCAGATTGTGCAAAACTCTATAATGACGACATGTTTCGGATAATTGGCAGAGCCCGGTCGTCCTTCCATCTAGCAGTTTTGGATTCAATCTACATAAAAACGAAAAAGCCGCCATTGTGTAGACAAAAGGAGTTCGTTTTCTCTCTTGGACTCCATTGGTAATTTTTCTTTAGGCTCGCGGCACTGATTGGTCAACTATACCGGTCTTGTGCTTGCGTTTTCCTGATTGGCCTATTTCGATCCACAACTGGGTATATATTTTTCCATCGTGTTTTTTCGGAACCTATTCTGACGTTTTATGCTCTGAGGAGTGTCAGACGAAAAAGCTTTAAGTATGTTGTAAAATGTTTGCTTTTTTCAAAGCCATTT